TAAGACTATCGTAGTAGTAGTACGATGATGGTACTGCCGCAGATGCGGCTTAGAGGCTTATGTTTATGAAATAAGTTTCCCAGTACCTATTAAAAACGGCGATGGTCTCGCCAGGGGCACCCTTCGATGGCAATTTTTTTTTTGTATCCGGCTATGTCATAATGACATCTACAAAGCAGTTTAACGTGCATCTTTTACGAGGTCTTTGTTCTTGGTCAGGAAGGCTTGAATGATTTGTTGTCGGCCTTGTTCTATGAGCATTTTTTTCTCGTCTTCGCTGAAGTCGGCGGTTTTCCGAGTCTTGGTTCGAATCTCTTCCGTGAGCGCTGACGAGACGCGATCGTCGGTCGTGTTAAGCTTGGCTTCGGCCAGCACTCGGATTTCGTCGTGTTTTAAGGCCTTCCGTTGCAACCGACGCGAAACGAGCTTAAGGGCTATTCCCGCCAGTCCCGATACCCCGGCGGCTACTTCTAACCCGAGGACGACGGGTGCGGCCACGATGGACGACAAAAAGCCGATGCCGGCACCCCAAAGTCCCATGCCAGCGACCACGTCCACGCCGTCGATGGCATTGACGGCCCGATGGTACTCTTTGTGCAATCTGAGTCGTACGTCCCGTTCTCGTTCCAGTTAGCGTTGATGTCGCTTATCTGTCGAAAACGAAATCCATCCACGGTGTCGAGCGTTTGAGCCACGCCGTCCAATCGTTGATGAATATACTTTAAGCTGATGAGGTGCACGTGTTCGGGTGCAGAAAGAGTAATATTTCATCTCCTCGACGCCCTCGAGGCCTCGACTCTGTTCCTAAGTTTATGGAAATACGACAGCTTTGATTTTATGGCGATCGATCGTGCCCGTGTATGTTTAACCCAAGCTTAAGTCCCACCCGTTGTCCGGAGGCATTTCCAAGAACGACGTCGATAATAATGGTAAAACCTGGTATCACAGTGATCCACGAGTCTGGGACTTCACTATATCGTTTTAAATAGAGCCATTTCGTTGTGTCTTCCTAGTGAGGGATTAGCATATAACCCGTTTGATCCGGTAATGGTGATGCGTACATTCCCTTTTTATGAAACGGAATAAAACTTCCCAGTAGAATCCCATTGTTTTTCAGTTAGACGATATTACGATCCTGATCCATGACGAGATAGGGGTAGGTCAGGGCGATATTACGATCCTGAGCCATGACGAGATAGGGGTAGGTCAGGAAGATATTACGATCCTGATCCATGACGAGATAGGGGTAGGTCAGGATGATATTGACGATCCTGATCCATGACGAGATAGGGGTAGGTCAGGATGATATTACGATCCTGATCCATGACGAGATAGGGGTAGGTCAGGACGATATTACGATCCTGATCCATGACGAGATAGGGGTAGGTCAGGACGATATTACGATCCTGATCCATGACGAGATAGGGGTAGGTCAGGACGATATTACGATCCTGATCCATGACGAGATAGGGGTAGGTCAGGACGATATTACGATCCTGATCCATGACGAGATAGGGTAGGTCAGGACGATATTATGATCCTGATCCATGACGAGATAGGGGTAGGTCAGGACGATATTACGCTGACCCTGATCCATGATATTGATGATCCAGTTCAATTTGACGATGACTTCTTGACGTTGGTACACGTTGTTTTGTAAGTGCAGGACGTACAAGGCGTTTTCCGTACCGGGTTCGTCGAATCCTCGCGTGTCCCGAGATCAGAGAATGTGATGGTGGCTTGCGGAGTCACGTTTGCAATGACACTCATGGTTTATATATTAGAGAAGAATTTGAATTGGTTTTCGGATAATTTTTCGGCCGTGCATTTCAAACCCATCAGATGTATGTTATCATGTAGGACAATTTTCGTGAGCGATATCGTGTTTTCCACAGTGACGTTGACTCCCTGCTGACTGGTGAAGGCATCCACGCCCACCCGCACATAAACGGAGCAAACGTGGTATTGGTGTTGTTGGGTCCACTGGAGTTTGATGCCTTTGACGATTTCGACGTTACCAACCCGTGGTTTGCCGAGGTATACTCGGATGATCAGCGTGGATTGCGCCGGCAGATTTTGCAGGATGTCGACCACGCTGTCGAATTCCGACACTAACTGCAACGTCGCGTTTGACGTCTCGGGTTTACTCGATAGGATGTGAGCTATGGGTTGCGACAGCGTGCTGACGACGACGCTGCGTCTTTGCGTCGGGACGTAAGCCACGATCAGCGTTCCGTTGTTCACGACTTTCGTGAGGTAGTGGTCTTTGTTTTCCGTGAACAGGTGGGGAGAGTCTAGCGCGATGTTGAGATTCCAGTCGATTCAAGAGGGTACGAACACCCATTGGTTGTCGTTGGTAAAGACGGGCGTGTACGGCGTGTTTCGAGCAACGACCGTCTTCTCAACGTCGTCCAGGTCGAAGAGTTTGCCGCCGAAGGCTGGAACCATCACCCATGTGTTATTGGCGTTGCGAACGAGATTGTACTGCGTGTTTTTTAAGAGACCTCCGGTCTTGACATCGTCTAAATCTCCTAGGTCACCACCAGATCCGCCGCTCACTTCGACGCGTTTGTAAATGTTGTTTTTGAGTTGCAAGGCGTACAGTTTGCCGTCGATGCCGGGCTCGTCGAAGCCGTGCGTGTCCCCGAGGTCGGAGATCGCTAGGTTGGCGCATTTTCTCGGTTGCATGGCCGTTCCTGGACCCGAAGCTTCAGTCATCGTTGTTTGACGTGCAGCGTCGCGCTGAGGTATCCTATATGAACGGGTATATATTTTATATCTAAAACTGATAGTTTCAATTCCGTGATGTTGCCTCGTGATAATTTCTTGTACTGCAAGGTCGAAAATGATTCGGTTCTGCCGTCGTTGTACTTTTCCGTATTCACGGCACGGCTCTCAGCAGCGTGGAAGGTCGTTCGCCTTGAACGTTGTCGGTCGTGCTCAGCTGATCGAGGTGAATGCACATATTGCGGTAGGGGACGAGGCTCGGCAATTTCGAGCCCGTGACGGTGTCTCAAGGTGCTATATCGTAAGTCGCAAACCCGAGTGTTCTCGCCAAGGGCCGACCCAGTTTGATGGGTTGGTCTCCGTTCGTCAACTTGAGCTGCCATCCGACTCGTTGAGTTTAAGACTGGCTCCGACGGGTTTAAAAATTTCGTCGTCCAGCATACAACTAAAACTATCGTAAGTCTACTTAAGGCATAGGAGTAACGGTCACCTTAGCGGTAAGATTATCGTACGTCTATTTTAAGGCATGGGAATTACGGTCACTTTAGCGCTAAGACTATCGTATCTGTACTTTAAGCTTTGAGAGTCAGAGCTCCAAATAAGATTTAGCTCATGTGGGTACTGTACCCACCGTATTTTTGAGATTGGTATTATGAATGTTGAGTGGGTATTTCATTTTCCGTTACCCACTGCTTTCAAATATGTGCGTATCAGCTTATCTGGAGCCTCTTGAGAGTTACGGTCATCTTAGCTCTAAGACTATCATGAATCTACTTTAAAGTATGGGAGTAACGGTCACCTTATCGCTAACATTATCGTAATTGTACTTTAAGGTATGACGGTAACAGTCACTTTAGCTCTTAGTGAGTGAGTGACTTTAGTTTTACTCCACACTCAGCGATATTCTAGCAATATGGCGGCGGTATGTAGATGATCGAGTCTGGACCAGACAATCCAGTGATCAACAGCATCGATCTGCGCAATTGCGAACCGATTAAATGTGTCAACTAAGTCAGCGAGCCTTACCACCCGATCCCGTTAGTCGCCTCTTACGACAAATATGGGTTACTGAAGGTTCATTCTAACCCGGACCTTAACGGGTCCTTAGCGCTAAGACCATCGTAAGTGTACTCTAAGGTATGGGAGGAACGGTCACCTTAACGCTAACACAAGCGTAAGTGTACTCTAACGTATGGAAGTAACGGTCACCTTAGCGCTCAAATTATCGTTAGTGTACTTTAAGGTATGGGAGTTACGGTCACTTTAGCGCTAAGACTATCGTAAGTGTACTTTAAGGTATGGGAGTTACGGTCACTTTAGCGCTAAGACTATCGTAAGTGTACTTTAAGATATGGGAGTTACGGTCACTTTAGCGCTAAGACTATCGTAAGTGTACTTTAAGGTATGGGAGTTACGGTCACTTTAGCGCTAAGACTATCGTAAGTGTACTTTAAGATATGGGAGTTACGGTCACTTTAGCGCTAACACTATCGTAAGTGTTCTCTAAGGTAAGGGAATTACGGTCACCTTAGCGCTAAGACTACCGTAAGTGTACTTTAAGGTATGGGAGTTACGGTCACTTTAGCGCTAAGACTATCGTAAGTGTACTTTAAGGTATGGGAATTACGGTCACCTTAGCTCTAAGACTATCGTAAGTGTACTTTAAGATATGGGAGTTACGGTCACTTTAGCGCTAAGACTATCGTAAGTGTACTTTAAGGTATGGGAATTACGGTCACTTTAGCGCTAAGACTATCGTAAGTGTACTTTAAGATATGGGAGTTACGGTCACTTTAGCGCTAACACTATCGTAAGTGCACTTTAAGATATAGGAGTTACGGTCGCTTTAGCGCTAAGACTATCGTAAGTGTATTTTAAGGTATGGGAATTACGGTCACCTTAGCTCTAAGACTATCGTAAGTGTACTTTAAGGTCTTGGAGTTACGGTCACTTTAGCGCTAAGACTATTGTAAGTGTACTTTAATGTATGGGAGTTACGGTCACTTTAGCGCTAAGACTATCGTAAGTGTACTTTAAGATATGGGAGTTACGGTCACTTTAGCGCTAAGACTATCGTAAGTGTACTTTAAGATATGGGAGTTACGGTCACTTTAGCGCTAAGACTATCGTAAGTGTACTTTAATGTATGGGAGTTACGGTCAGATTAGCGGTAGGACCATCGTAAGTGTACTTTAAGGTCTGGGAGTTACGGTTAGTTTAGCGCTAGGATCGCTTTGTACAACATTACTCTGACACATCATAATTCTGTATGTCGATAAAAGGAATGTGAAATAGCAGATGGTTCAAACTAAGTTATCTGGTGTTACACAGCACGACCTCAATTGTATCAGTTGTTTAGGAAGCCACAGAGAAGGTAGGTAAAATATATATCGATAAAATACTGAAACCATAAGAATTTCTTTTGCAGTCAAAATGACAACTAATTCATTCGTACATTTAGCATGAATGTCAGAACTTGAATGAAGTAAAACTTGCAGATACATTAAACTGGACATCCAGATAGTTTACTTACCTTTGTTGCACTGGCTATAGTGAGGTAATCCGAAAAGGTGTTAAAGGTCGTGGTTCAAGATTAGCCCCCCTCTCCCCTCTGTGTGTGTGTGTGAGGGTGTGGGTTTGGGTGTGAGAGTGTGGGTGTGGGTGTGGGTGTGGGTGTGGGTGTGGGTGTGGGTGTGGGTGTGGGTGTGGGTGTGGGTGTGGCTTGTACTCGTCCGGTTACATAATGCCGGTTACATTGTGCTAGTCCAATGAAGTACCATGTATATTATGTCAGGGTAATGAAGGAGAACAATGTGAGGCTGGTCTGATAATCCTTTACGAAACCCAAACAAAGGCCAACCGTACATGCTTAAGTCACATTAAAATGCTCCAGCCATGTCTCGAATGACGAGAAGCTACTTTAGGCTTTAGGCTTCAATCTGATTTAACAGGACAATATTATCAGAATGGTACTTCTTTGATGATACTTTGTTGGTGGTTTTACTATACAATCTCGTATCGAGTCAGATCATTTACCAGACAGATCATGACAGATGAATCATATTACTGTTGTCGCGCTGTGGTGAGGCTGTACATCTTCCCTCCTACAGATGTTTGTCCAGCTTCTCCTTGTGCTGCTGGTCCGGCATTCTACTGGCCTGACAGCTCCTGTCACCCTCAAGAACCACTGGAGTGGAGGGTTCCAGGGAAAGTTCTGCATACCCTTCACCATGGACGTCACTTCCTGGAAAGCCCACATCCGGTTCAGTGAACCCTTGTCATCGCTGGAGGTACTGCATCACTTCCTTTACCAGTGTATACTTATTTGTTGACAGACTGAACTGGGAAAACACATTTTGGGTTTCCTTTGTACCTGCTGATTTAACCGCACCAAGTTGATTTTTGAACCGAACGCAGATCAGAGTACAGTTACTGTCAAATTTACTGCCAAGTCAAATTCGAAAGCTTGGCATGTGAAGCTAATATTTATTTCTTTTCTGGTTAAATATATGAAATAGGGAGCTATGTTAAACGTTGTGCTACCATTTCCAATACTGACACATTGTGATTGACCAGATCTGGCTGGGTGACATTGAGTCTAAGAGTGCAGATGGAAAGGAATTCGTGGTGGTGAACAAACCCTTCGACGGAAACGAACATGTGGGGGATGACCTCTGTATCGACTTCCTCGGCCACGGCAGCGGCGACATCACCCCCAACGTGACTGTTGTAGTTGATAATATGCCCGATCCCACCACACCGCCGTCAACTACCACCACTACACCGACTCCCACGACGACGAGGACACTGGGACCTGGAGAAAGTAGGTGTTTTAGCTGACAGTCTTATAGTGCACCTGGACCAAAACAGCTATATCTGACGCTGCTGTAGTACACTTTACGCTGACGTGATACATATTTCGCTGACGTAATACGCTCTACGCTGACGTTATACACATTTCGCCGACGTTATACACATGACTCTGACGTAATACGCTCTACGCTGACGTAATACACATGACGCTGACGTAATACACATTTCGCTGACGTAAAACGCTCTACGCTGACGTAATACACATGACGCTGACGTAATACACATGACGCTGACGTAATACACTCTACGCTGACGTAATACACATTTCGCTGACGTAATACGCTCTACGCTGACGTAATACACATTTCGCTGACGTAATACACATGACTCTGACGTAATACGCTCTACGCTGACGTAATACACATGACGCTGACGTAATACACATGACGCTGACGTAATACACTCTCCGCTGACGTAATACTCATTTCGCTGACGTAATACACTCTACGCTGAAGTAATACACATTTCGCTGACGTAATACACTCAACGCTGACGTAATACACATTTCGCTGACGTAATACACCCTACGCTGACGTAATACACATTCCGCTGACGTAATACACACTACGCTGACGTAATACACATTACGCTGACGTAATACACTCTACGCTGACGTAATACACATTCCGCTGACGTAATACACACTACGCTGACGAATACACATTACGCTGACGTAATACACTCTACGCTGACGTTATATATTACACATGACGCTGACGTAATACACTCTACGCTGACGTAATACACATGACGCTGACGTAATACACTCTACGCTGACGTAATACACATGACGCTGATATGAGACAAGCGGCGCTCACGTAATGCATATTTCGTTAACGTAATATACTCTACGCTCATATAATATTCGTCACGCTGACGCAATACGCGTCGGACTGACATGGTGGCACATAAGTAATAGAACTGAATAATACAACGATGATACACGTGGCACTGGAAACATGGCACTAACGTAAACAGATATGAGATACATGGCACTAATCTAACATTCTTTCTAATTTTTAAGAAACTTTCTTACCATCAAACTGTCTTCATTTCCAGCATGGCCCCCGACAACGACACCACCGTCTACGACCAGTGAGTATGTGTTGATGACAGAACCAATATCTACTCACTTCCGGTCCCCGGGGTCCAGCACCAAACTATTCCTTGTTATCTAAGACTTCCTTAGATTAAGCGGTTTTCACGTGTCAACTCAGTAATCAGTGTTTCAAGTAATACATTCACAAGTGCATGTTATGTCAAATGAAATGATTATCTGTTTAGGCAGACAGAAATAATTCTGTGGAGTTCACGCCATGGAATAACTAATTAGAACCTTGTGTACAACCGCATGATATCATGCATTCTTTTCAGCCGCTGCCACATTTTTTGTTTTCTTGAAACGAGGAGCCAAATATATTTAAAAAAATATTTTGGGGATATTATGCGGGTAACTGATGAAAAATATACTTCTTTAAAGTATTTTCAGGGACAGTTTACTAAACCAATCAAACCTAGGCTATCCAAATTATGAAATACCATTTATATATTCCATGCACAGACCACTCACCATTTGAGAGTCAAATTCCTTATTGTATGCATGAATCACCCTATCTATTCTATCACTGCTAATTGTATACGGTATACTTATGTAGGCGTGAAGTATTTCAGTATCCTTATCAAAGGTTGATTAATATTGAATATACATAACATCTATTTGAGTAAACGCAAACTGCTTGAACCGCCTTCATGATTGTGTAGCCATGGTTAAATATTTAACATCGAAACTATTGAGGGACGGTAGGGTAACCTAGTGGTTAAAGTGTTCCCTCGTCACGCCGAAGACCCTGGTTCCATTCCACACATGGGTACATTGTCTGAAGCCCATTTCGGGTGTCCCCCGCCGTGATATTGCTGGAATATTTCAAAAAGCGGCGTAAAACCTCACTCACTCGAAGCTATCGAATCACCAGATACCCGTTGATAGAACATACACTCTGAGGCATTAGACACCATGTTTATGTATGTGTGACACTGTGACGACATTGCAGCTGGCCTCCCGGCACTGCACGTCCCCCACAACAGGACGGCCAAGCTGGACCTCATGCAACATCACGGGGAGAACTGGGAGGGGCGCTTCTGCTTCGACCTCAAGGAAGAGATTGTTGCATGGGAGCTCGTTATGGACTTTACGGTAGCTGTCAAGGAGATAACTGTAAGTAGGTCAATCAGACCTGCACTTAATGTTGATTTGAATAGTTATATCACGGCATGTCTGCTTTATGTGGGGGGAAGCTCCGAAGTGATATAGGTCAATGGTCAAGTGCAATGACAAGGTAAACAAGGTCCATGTTGAGGATATAAGTGAAAGTAGATCACAGTCGTCAGCATAAAAATAAGGGTTCACTTGTACGTAGATCGAGGCCCTTAAGATAAAAATGGTTCAAAGGTTCATCACTGTGCCAAGGGCATCACGATAAAAAGGGTTAACAGGGACAATGCCAGGAAATGTCTGTAGATCAAAGAAACAAGCAAGCATACATACATGCATACATGCATACATACATACATACATACATACATACATACATACATACACATACATACATACATACATACATACATACATACATACACGCATGCATGCATACATACAGACACACACACAGACACACACACATACATACATGCATGCACACATACATACATACATACATGCATACATACGTGCATACATACATACAGACAGACAGACATGTATACACTCATAGATACATACATACATACACACATGCATACACACACACACACATACATACATACATACACACACACAAACACATACAGACAGACAGACAGACAGACACACACACAGAGACAGACAGACAGACAGACAGACAGACATACACACACAAACAGACAGAAACTTTTCAAGACTGATGTAAGACTGCATTGGTGGATTTATTCTGTTCAGAATTTCGAGGGCGACTTCACCCAGCCAAACAAGCATGCAAACATACATACATACATACATACATACATACATACATACATACATACATACATACATACATACATACATACATACATACAGACATACAGACAGACAGACAGACAGACAGACATACATACATACATACATACAGACAGAGAGACATACAGACAGACAGAGAAACATACATACATACATACATACATACATACATACATACATACATACAGACAGAGAGACATACACACACACACAGACAGACATACTTACAGACAGACAGACACACACACACAGACAGACAGACACAGACATACAGACAGACAGACACAGACATACATACATACATACATACAGACAGACAGACAGACAGACAGACAGGCAGACAGACACACAGACACGCAGACAGACAGACAGAGAGAGAGGGAGAGAGAGAGACAGACAGACAGACAGAACCTTTTCAAGACTGATGTAAGACTGCATTGGTGGATTTATTCTGTTCAGAATTTCGAGGGCGACTTCACCCAGCCAACCACTTCCTGCTCCAAACATCTGACGGTAGTGAACAAAAGGTCCAAGGGCGTCCACTACGCCGGCGAACACTACTGCATCAGAATGATGGGACACGTATGTGAGGACAAGGACCCTGACGGCACCGCCGTCCTCGTAGACCTCACAAACGACGCACAGACGTTGCCACGACTACCCGTTGTAACAGGTACCACATTAGTGTGTGAATTAGTGAGTGAATGAGCTATTTTTACGCCGCTTTTATCAATATTCCAGCAATATCACGGCTGGGGACGCCAGAAATGGGCTTCACAAATTATACCCAGGTACCACATTACCAATCGGGCAGAGCTCGAGGTATGTATCGTATTCAAGCCCAAAAGTCGATTATCGATAATCTGATAGTCACTGTATTTCTTCTTCCAATGAGCTTTATACAGAAAGAGCAAAACAGTGTGGTGCAATGAGAAAATAACACATGTCATTCCAAATGGGTGGTGCCACTGGGGTGGTTGGGGGAGAGAAAGAAACGCGCACCTTTTCGAGAACAATTTCAGAGTGATTCATGAACTCATCATCATGATATGGTCAAAATCTTACAATCGACTCATCAGGCACATATTACTTATGAATGCGGAAAGGGTTTTATATATTTACACACTATAATTGGGTTCGGAAGATTCAATAGTTACATGTATTACAATGGGTCTCATTTGTTTTTTGTCTGCAACAGGAGCCCAGAAAACCAAGTACAACTATGCTGAGATCCTGATGAAGTCCATCTTGTTCTACGAGGCTCAGAGATCCGGGAAACTCCCCCCTGACAACAGGATCCCATGGCGAGCTGACTCCGCCCTCAACGACAAGGGGGCCAACGGCGAAGACCTCACTGGAGGATGGTATGACGGTGAGTTGGATGGTCAAAATATTACAGCTCCACAAAAAGGAGTGCAATTCATTTTGATGCTTGGCTATTGATGTACACAACAACACACTATCGTCCGGGTAACCTTACTGGAAACTGCGCTCAAAATCAATACCCGAGGCCAGGTGTGCAATTACGTCTCTCGTGTTATACACTGTTTCAGCCGGAGATAACGTCAAATTCAACTACCCCATGGCGTTCAGCACGACCCTCCTGACGTGGAGTCTCATCAGGTACAAGGACGCCTACGAGAAGACAGGTCAACTGGAGGACATGTACAAGTGCATCAAGTGGCCGCTGGACTACTTCATCAAGTGCCACACTAAGCCTGATGAACTGTATGGACAGGTAGGCTGACTCGTATTTGGCGTCTTTCGCAGTCACAGGCAAGGCCACGTTAAGGCCTCCGTCTACAATCATATAACATGCAATTCACCGAGACAAATCACAATGGCGCTCACAAACCAACATGATCACATCTATCGGCGTTTACAAGCACATTCGATGTTCATCCACGCCTGCCTGTAATTGGCGACAACAGACACATATGTTTAGTCCATATCTAAGTCCTAAGGCATTAAGGGGCGGTGGGGTAGCCTAGTGATTAAAGCGTTGGCTCGTCACGCCCCAAGATCCGGGTTCGATTCCCAACATGGGTACAATGTGTGAAGCCCATTTGTGGTGTCCCCCGCCGTGATATTACTGGAATATTGCTTAAAGCGGCGTAAAACCATACTCACTCACCCAGTCACTCACTCACCTAAGACATTAACATCTGCATCCACATCTAGATGTGACGGAGACTGTATGAGATATCACCCCAATGTTGTGTCCCATCTAGGTTGGAGATGCTGGTGTGGACCACGGCTCCTGGACCAGCCCAGAGCGTATGACGAGCCGAAGACCTTCCATGAAGATCGATCCCGCAAACCCTGGTTCGGACCTGGCCATGGAGACAGCCTCGGCTATGGCTGCTGGTTCTATAGCCTTTAAACTAAAAGGTACAGCAAATGATACATCTTGTACAGGATGTCCCATAACATGATATGGAATCACCCACTGACCAGCCCAGCATCTTTGTATACTAACTGTCGGAAAAGTGAAAGAACTACAAAAGAAAGGCTACAATTTAAAATTATATGTCTTGCCTACCAATCAGTCCACAAGATCTCCTTTCTAAACCCTTACACCAGTATATCAACCTTCCAGAAAAGTTCGTTCAGCTAACAGATTCCTCCTTTCTGTACCTCCCTACAAGTTGCCCGATCATCCCAACACCCTGCTGCTGTGCCATGGAACCCTCTTCCCCTTCACTTCGGAAGGAGCGCCCCTTCCTGAATTACTGACAATTGTGTTCTGTGACTCTCACACCTCTCTAACCTCTCAGACCCCGCCTACTCGGCCACCCTGCTGAAACACGCCAAACAGCTGTTTGAGTTCGGGAAGGCTCACCAGGGGAAATACAGCAACAGCGTACGTGGGGCCCAAGGATTTTACACGTGAGTGTTGGAGATGTGTCCGGGTGTGAAACATATGCCTGATGGGATCTGTAACGCCTGTGTGACGACATGCGACTTTATTTGGATAACGAGTGGTTTCATAGGCTAAGCATAAACGTTTATGATAAGGAGGGTGAAAATTGTGTTGGTAAGCGTAACTCCAGACGTATACCCTGATGTAGACTCTGTTACAGTTTCTTAATATATATATACATATTTACCTGAATAATACACATAACGATGGTGGTGCACATTTCGATATTTGTTCAGTTACTCGTTGATGTATATTAGTGGTGAAGTATTTCGTTTTTGTCTTGCAACTCAGATCTCAGGACTACGAGGACGAGAACAGCTGGGGAGGTGTGTGGCTATACATGGCTACTGGAAACCAGACCTACCTGGACTATGCAGAGCAACACTTCGTGAACAAAACAGCCTGGGGATTCTCCTGGGATGAGAAGATCGGCGGTGCCAATGTACGTTTTACATTAACTTTTCATCAATATGTTTCGTTTGTTTTGCACTCTGATTTGACCCTCATACGTAAAAGAATAGACGTTCACAAAATGCACACGTTATATTCACATCTAATCAGATGGACCTGTGAAGATCCGGGTTAGAACTGGTCTTCAGCATTGCATGCTTGTAAGATGCGACTAATGGGATCGGGTGGTCAGGCCGTTGACGTCGTATCCAAATTGCGACGGTGGATGCTCATGGTTTCTATCACTGGACTGTCTGGATTCGATTATATACAGACCACCGTCAAATACTGGAGAACTGCTGAGTTCGGAGCTAAACAATATAATTCTTATCAGATGGCTGGCTCAATCTAATGGTCGTTAGGTTCTCTCCAAGGATGGCACCGTTCGTCCATAGTGTAAGCAGTACCCTACATAAAGACTGATGTATGAGTGAAGTATGAGAACTGTTTGTTTCCAGCTTCTGCTGTATGAGGCCACAAATAAGTCCATGTACAAGAGGGTGATCGTGGATACATTCGTCTCCTGGTTCCCGGGTGGAGATATTCCCTACAGCCCTAAATGCATGGCCTTCCGTCTGGAGTGGGGCGCCCTGAGATATGCCTGTGAGTCATTGCACTCTGTTTCATAGCCTGTTGGGGGACCTGTATATCAGGTTATTGTTTAGGTCGAGTCCTGCAGGAGAAATATCCGTAGAGCTTATTACGATCCTTTGAAAAATTGTCACATTCAAGTATAAAGAAGAAGAAGAAACTTTTTTCAGTGTTTTCTGCTATATTTCAGCCAATACGGCATTCCTAGCTTTGGTTGCTGCGGACGATGGAATCAATGCGGAGTCATACCGGAAGTGGGCAATGACGCAGCTTCATTATGCATTCGGCGACGCCGGAAGGAGCTACATCGTTGGCTTTGGCGTGAATCCACCTGAAAGACCACATCATCGCGCCAGGTAAAGTGCACTGGGAAAAAAGAGAAATTGGTAGTTGTGATGTGCTGAATATCACAACTTGATTTCTCGTATACTGAATTTCACATCTCAAACCTTTCCATTTTCACATTTGAATTTGGTTATTCTTTATTTTTGAAAACACAATTAAACGCTAGTACTATTTCAACCGTGTATGAGTAAGAAATGAGTTATCTTTATTGGTACAATATGATAAGTAAGATGATAAGTATGTTTCAATAATACTGTTGTTCGTCTTCCCCGACTTACGAAACACAAGTGGACATGCATGTCTTTATAATGTATAAGTAATTTATGTTTTTTCTAACGTAATTGTGAAAAACGCATCATGCCAAGAACATAATGACAGTAACTATATACCATCTTAATGAAACTTTCGGTCTAAAGGAACAAATCACACAGAACAGTCTCTCCCTTACTATAGTCCGTTTGGCTCAAAAGCGGACCGATGAATTGCAATCTAACTCGAAAACTAATAAATATGTGATACTCAATGAATCACTGATCATAATCAAAACATCAGACCAACTCTGTTATTTTTGTGTGCAGAATTTATGTCCTACAAAAAAAGAAGTTGTTTAACAGACTATCATATTTTTTTTGACACAGTTCATTATGTGTTACGAGGGAGAAGTGCAAAGAGAGGAACAGCCAGATGTACGCGGAACACGTGCACAAGTGCCGACGAAGTTATTAATTCATTAACCTGTGCTGTGCCGCCTCCATCCTCTCTCGCACATCTGGCTGTTCCTCTTTCTCTGCACTCCTTCCTCGTAACAAATAGTGAACTGTGTAAATATTTTAACTTTTTATTTTTAGGACATAAATTCTGCAAAAAATCACAGAATTGGTCTGATGTTTTTATTATGATCAGTTTTTCATTGAGTATTATATATTTATTAGTTTTCGAGTTAGACTGCAATTCATCGGTCCGCTTTTGAGCCAAACGGAGTATAACTGTAGGATAATCTTATCTGGCGAAATTTAATAGAAATGACATTTCATCATATCCCTTGTAAACAACACAAACGCCTGCTCTACAGAATTCCAATTTTGAATTTGTTTGAATTTCAGTTACAAATGTGTAAAAATATGATAAAATATGTATTGCGTCCTCAATCCAATTTAACACTAGTAGACTTTAAATGTTCGAAGACCAGGTATTTCTACTCATTGACAACGTCAGTACCTAACCACTGTATATATCTTTATATGAGATATTTACGGGTCCCCTTGTCCAAGATATCTTCATTAAAAGGACAGAGATCCGCTTCTGACGATGAAATAGGTGTAACATATCATGAGCTGGCGGTAACAAACTATTTGTTTGTTAGTTCCTGTCCCAACTTACCGGCGCCATGTGACTGGGAGTCTCAGACCAACAAGGGCCCCAACCCCCACACGCTGTACGGCGCCATGGTGGGCGGCCCCGGCAAAGACGACAGCTACAAAGACGACAGAAAAGACTACGTCAAGAACGAGGTGGCGTGCGACTACAACGCCGGCATGCATGCCTCTACTGCAGGTGAGGATACGATTATCAATTAGACTCTACGCAGACATGATTTAAGCGCAACAAGAGACCTCATATGAAATGCTTGTCTTTTTATAAATGGGACAGCTGTAATTAATATCTGAAGCCGGGTTCAAGGAAAGGTTTAACTCTTCTCATTGACTCGTTCTTGCATTTCAGTTCTTATGCATTTGGCTCTCGAAAACGAGCTTCCAACATCATACAAGGAGATCTGCCCCTAGACGGTGCTTCCAAGAAAGGACATCTCTTCGCAACACTATGAACACTGAATACATAATTCATAATATCAATTCGTTTGAGTCAAGTGACGTTGTGAATTACGACATTTAAAGTAACTTAGGACAAACTGAAACACTGACTTTCATGTACATATTTAACAATTATGTTGTCATAAGATGTGCACCAGAAAAATCAATGATAAAAAATTGGAATATTGTTTTCCGTTTTGTTGCACTTCGATGATTCACAAACAGAAGTTCTTGTCTCAGCTCAAAGGTGTGATCCTACCATATTGGATGCTGGACACTGCACAGTTACAAGTTATGTTTCGTTTTAGGAGCGTGTATGTGCGTGCGTGCGTGTGTGTGCGCGTGTGTGCGTGTATGTGTGTATGCGCTTGATTGTTTCCTTTGAACTTTTTAGCGTATGCAGTGAAATCGTTTGATTTAAGTTCGGACGAGACATGTGATATGGTGTCATCATTGTCCATATTCATCTTCACAGCTTATTTATGACGATAGTCCAGGTTAGGTATTCATTTACACTGACAATTTATATATACACCAGACCAACCATAAAACCCTGAACTCTATAGTGATTATATGTAATAGCAGTTGTCAAATACGTTGTTATCTCACCAAATGCCGTGGTTAGAATAATTATTCAAATTTCTTGTCTTACCACGTCAAGAGATGGGAAACATTGCTTGTATCGTTAAACATTCTACTGATTATTATTTTCAGTTTCAATTTATATGGCAAAGATGAGTGTTTGTAATTTATATAAAGCAGGAGCTGACACGTGTTACTAACTACTTGCAACGTGCTGCTGCTTCTGTCACTTTCTCCTCCAGCATATTCATATCTTACAGGGGCGGTGGGGTAGCCTAGTGGTTAAAGCGTTGGCTCGTCACGCCGAAGACCCGGGTTCGAATCCCCACATGGGTACAATGTGTGAAGCCCATTTCTGGTGTCCCCCGCCGTGATGTTGCTGGAATATTGCTAAAAGCGGCGTAAAACCAAACTCAGTCAGTCAGTCAGTCATATCTTACAAGTGGTGCAATAATCGGAAATATCAACCGGTAGTACTGTTGGTCAGCAGTTCTTGACCTGTGTCCACTGCGAGAGATGAGGTACATTAAATATACACATCAACACACTAAACGTTTCTCTAGAAATCATGAGCAGATATATCAGAAGATTGTTTTTTACCGCTGTATGGAGCTGTTTAAATGAATCACTTCCACTTGTCCATGGTAGGAACTCCTTATATCTTCCTCCGTGAATGTAACTTTGTGCATTAAAAATGATATAAACATTTTCATAATCACAAGAGTGGGTGAGTGAATATAGCTTTGGCATAATTATAAGACAGCTTTGCAGACTGTCCCATTCCGACTTTAGCATGAGTACGTTATTATGAAGCACTTCGAAAGAGTGATGAATCTAGGTTTGGGTGAAATTTCTTGTTTAGATTCCGAAACACATGCATAAAGACACAGATCAGAAGAAAGGAGAGCACAATTGGTGCCCATCTCGGAATGTCCTGAGCCTAAACTCTCAAATGGAAGTCATACCTGCGAAGGTTAAGCATTTCACCTGTTGTTTTCTCATTAAACTTCACCAAATTATTACTTTCAATTCAGACACAATATCCCGAACCTGGAAATCTTGATATATAGTATGACCAGAAATTATTGAGAATTTTAGGAATATGTTTAATTGGATTTCTAGTATAAACAACCTTGACCAGCTATCAAGTGCTTGGTTTCATTCAAGAGAGACAACTCCGTGAATCCTTTTTCATTAGTTTGTGAAGAGTTATCCCCCTTTGTTATCCCCCATTTTCAGTGATCCTCAGTATGGATGATTTAGAGAAGAGGAAGTTGATTTTAGAGTATTATAACAAGGACATCAGGACATCAGATCAGCTAAAGGTGATTTCTGGAAGAAACTGTGGCTGTCTGTAAGAACATATCTGTGTTAGGGGCAATGCCCTCTGTGTATTTAACTGGGAATATGAACAGTGAGCGGTACACAGATATTCTCGAGGGACATTTACTTCCATCTGCTCACGTGTTCTATGGACATTTTCTGGATTTTCCAGTGAGCGGTACACAGGTATTCAGGACAACGACCCAAAACATTGTTCAAAGCATTCACAGGCCTGGTTTCGGACCCAAAATATGACATTATTAGATTGGCCAAGCTATAGCCCTGACCTAAATCCAATAGAAAATGTTTGGGGACTTATGAAGGAAAGTGTCAATAAGAAAAATCTGACAAATATTGCTGAAATGAAAGAAGAGGTGGTCCGATATTGGGACAGCATGGACACGACTTTCTAACTTCTTTGATCAGTAGTATGCCCCGCCACATTGAAGCCTGCATTGCTGCCCATGGTGACTTTACAAAATACTAACTGTTCACTTGTCTTTGAATCTGGAGTTAAGTTCTGCTTATATTCACATTTAATACGTGAGTAATTAGTGAAAATATATTTTTTTTTACAATCTTTAAATTCTCAATAATTTCTGGTTGTACTGTATGGTCACCATATTCAGTAACAAAAGCCCCGTGAATGAAGGAGAGAAATTGTTGTCCTTTGCCTCCTACCTGCTGCACAAGGCACACCCTAGCAAACCAGTCTTGACCCTTTGACCTGAGTTTGTCATGCCGGACAGTGGTGTACCATATTGAAAATATAAATACTATACTGCCACAGATGGAACTTGATTAATATAAGGAAAGCTTCGAAAATAATCATTGAAATCTACAAAGCTGTTTGTTGTCAAAGCTTCTGCCTCAACTGTCAGTTACATTGCCTTGATAAAATGTTTTAATTTGTTAAACAATATAGACTGAAGTAATGTGAAAGAATACTGTATTCGCTACCTTCTTCTGAGAAAGTGTGGTATAACTACTTAAAAATAGTCATTTTTACCATATGTTATATTTGGGCTTTCACTTTCTTAGTAAAAGTACATATTGTAGTACTTTTGTAGGGACGAGTCAATCAGAGCCACGCACCTCAATCGCCAGCACACAAGGTCAGCCATCTAACCCCTCAGCCATCGCGTTCAGCAGTAGCAACAAAAGTACTAGAATCTGTACTTAACTAAGAAAGTGTAATCCCCTATATAACATATGCTACATTTGGCCACTTTCTAAATGGCATTGTGTATTAATAGTCGTCTTGTTATTAGATCATGTATGTCTAAAGCGTTTTATCTAATTATGAACCGACTCCAGGCGAACATGATTATACCATGATGTCTACCAGAGAACACTGATGAATGTTAAAGGCGCGACCTTGACACTCCCATGTTCCAGTCACGACAAGATCTGGAACACCATGACTGGCAGTTATATTTACTGATAGCAGGCCACACATAAAGGTATGTTATGAGACTCAGTGACAAGTGTAGTACATTTTGATAAAAATAAGGTAATTTCTGTTGACATTGTCATTTCTTGAATAGATGTTCGTGTTAGATTGCTATGGTATGTCTTCACAGTTACGGAATGCGGTATAGACCGGGCGAGTTGGGTTGAACGCCGTTTTGAGCTGTTACCGTATTCTGTTGTATCACGACGTGTCAGCAGGGGAGTAAGGCCGGAAGCATGGAATACTAGAAGGGACATTGTCGCAGTGATGATGGTCTCAGATATTTGTCGACCCGTGAAGATCCGGGTTAGAATTGATCTTCAGTAATCCATGCTTGTCGTAAGAGGCGACTAACGGGATCGGGTGGTCTGGTTTGCTGACTTGGTTGACACTTGTCATCGTATCCCAATGGCGTAGATCGATGCTCATGCTGTTGATGACTGGATTGTCTGGTCCAGACTCGATTATTTACAGACCGTCGCCATATAGCTGGAATATTGCTGAGTGCGGCGTAAAACTAAACTCACTCACTCACTCAGATATTTGCCACTTCAGTGACACCAATGAGAGCGGGTACGGTGTCGACAAACCTAGACCTATAATCTGGGTGCGGGGTTATAAACGGCGATCCAACATTTCTGAACGCAACTCAGGAAATTGCGGCGACGTGGACAACTATCCCGTCGTGTATCAGTGGGATGAGAAGCCTTGATCATAGGTTTCTGGCACTCACAAGGGACGCAACTCTGCACACCACAAATTACACAAACGAACATAAATCTAGAATTGTAGAACGTCTTCCTTAACCACCCATTACCCGTGTGATCAGACCATGCGACTACTGTTGTTGTCAACGTTGGCATGGGGCGTCCTCGGCGACATGACAACGACGATGCAGGTGACGAGTCAGCAGGGACAGACATTGCTCGGATCATTCTGTTTCGACCTACAAGCCGACATCCTGGGCTGGGAACTTGATGTGACTTTCAGCACACCGGTAAAGGATCTTAGTGTAAGTGTAGCGGCCATAACTTTCCAAGTCACGTGCTGGGATTCGAACTATGAACCTTCTGATCCGAAGTCGGACATCTTGTCCACATGACCAAAGAGGTTACTATGTCAGCAAACTGACAAGGTGAGAATGTCATCTATGGGATGACACCACGCCCTGCTACATAAGAAAGACGAAATAGTTTTAGGTTTGATAAAAAAACATTAATAAGAATTCAGTATATAATATATAATCAAGAAAGGTATTTCTAAATTCCAACTGAACCTCTTTCGGACCTACGAGCTGGACTTATTCTTGCTCAGACATATGTCAACGCTTATTCTAAAAAGAATACTGTTGTAAGTTGGCTATGGGCCTTTGACAACTCATCACATAAACCTTGCAGTTCTCTGTGATACACTCTCTAATACCAATCCTGGGAATGTCCGGTACAGAATATTTGCAGGCCGCCTTCATTAAGCTGAAATATCGTTTATTACTGTCCTTAGCAATAATGATCAAATTTGTGACGGACGAACCAATGATGCGTCCATAACGCCACACGCCTGTTTATGATGACAAACAACCAGTGTGGTTGTAAACAGCAAAACATGTTTCTGAGTCAAGGTAGTGGTTCCTATATTACGGACAATATCTAGTGTAAAGTTTCTAATTTGACGTAAAGACAAGTTTTGGTAAGCGAAGGTTCGTAATGAAAGTTTCACCATCAAAGGCCTGATTACATAACTCTCGACATGTTTGGCAATCAGAGGATTTACTTCATAAGATATGATGTGCTATGCTTTTGCCATGTTATGATCTATATATTGAACCTTTACGCTTCCTTAAACACTGGAACTTGTGTTTTATTGATAACTATGTGGCGTTTTGAATTGTCAGGAATTTGATGGTGATATCATCTCTCCCTCTACTGGTGCCTGCTTTACACAAGTGAAGATGGTCAACAAGCCCCCCAACGGCGTCCACTACTCAGGGGAACATGTGTGTGTCAAGATGCAGGTTCACAGGTGCAGTTCTTCTGTTATCACTGCTACAGGAGTGCTACGGGATCTCACCCATGCCCAGCAGGCCGTTCCAACAGCACCGACAGGTGCAGGTATGTGTCAGCTCCTACTCTGACAATATAGATTCATCTGTGTCAAATGTTCATTCCAAACTCTAACATAAGTATCCTGTAGTTTGTACTGGAACACTGAACTCATCGGACGCCTGTAACAAGGTGAACGTCCTAGATTCATTGGTATACTTAAGATCAGTCAAATAAAGAGTGACAAGAGCCATTTTCAAAAACAGAGCCCACCGCAAGAGTCTGACTTTGTCATAATCAGAATCAGATACTGATTATACTAGGTGAACTAGGAAACCATGAGCATATCCTGTCCCCCACCCACACACCCACACACACACACACACACACCTCCACCACCACCCCTGACACACACACCTCTCCCATCACTCACACACACCCACACACACCCCCCTCCACCACCACCACTCCTGACACACACACACACACTCGCGCCTCTCACATATCTCACTATCTCACACCCACCCACCCACACACCACACACACACCTCCACCACCACCCCTGACACACACACACTCGTCACACACACACACACACACACACACACACACACACACACACACACACACACACACACACACACACACTCGCCTGTCCCATCACACACACAGACACGCCTCTCCCATCTCACACACACACACACACACACACACACCTCCAACACCACCACCCCCACACACACACACACACACACACGCCTCTCCATCTCTCACACCCACCCACCCACCACTACCACCCCTGACACACACACACACACACACACACACACACACACACACACACACACACACACACTCACTCACCTCCGCGCCTCTCCCATCACACACACACACACCCACCACCACCACCACCCTGACACACACACACCTCAACCACCACCGACCCTGACACACACTGACACATACACACACACACACACACACACACACACACACACACACACACACACACACACACACACACAGAGACACAGAGGCTCGCGCCTCTCCCCTCACACACATACGCGCGCACACACACACGCGCACACACACACACACACACACACACACACACACACACGGACGCGCGCACGCATACACACGCACGCACGCGCGCGCACACACACACACACACACACACACATCGTTCCAGCTCGCTTTTGATATCTAGCGGAATGATATCTACCCGGAAGTTAACAATACGCGAGTTTTGTTTGCCTTACTTGTATTAACAGCCACTTTAGAAACTCCATGTGGAAATGTTAAATAACTATTGATCTCAAGGTGGCCAGGCAACCAAGTACAACTACGGTGAGGTCCTGATGAAGTCCATCTTGTTCTACGAGGCTCAGAGATCCGGGAAACTCCCCCCTGACAACAGGATCCCCTGGAGGGGGGACTCCGCCCTCAACGACAAGGGGGTAAACGGGGAGGATCTCACTGGGGGATGGTATGACGGTGAGTTGGACTGACCAGAGAAGGGAGAGGGTGTCATGGAGAACACTGGGTGGATGGCACTGCGTGTAGAATTGTACAGATATAGAGAATGAGGACTAAGGGGGAGCGGGAGAGGGCAGGGGGAGAGGAGGGAGATGAGCCAAATGATGGACATCTCCTAAGTGCTAACAGGGGGAAGCTCTGTACAAGAGGGTATTTGGGATGAAGGCGACTGTACTCTTTAGTGAGCAAGTGTGAGTTTGGGTATGTGTTGGGAGAGACGGTTACACAATGTCGTGGTATGACTTAGTTCGTTTGATCGGCATTCGAGAAGTTGGTGTGTCAAAAATGAAACATACAACTTTATGGATGACAACTTCTTGTTTATTGCACAGAGCGACGTTTCGAAGTAGATTCTTACTTTTAGCTTGATAACGGTGTAAGAATCCACATCGAAACGTCGCTCTGTGCAATAAACAAGAAGTTATCCACAAAGTTGTATGTTTCATTTAAGATTGAGTTCCATGAGGGGTTAGTTGTAAGGATGTGAGCAGGGTGGCTTGCGTATGAGTGAATGACTCTACTTGTGGAAGTGTTGAAGGATGGACTGATGGATGAGATACACGGAGGAGCTGTGGACGGGGTGAGGATATGTCTTACAGGGTATAGGGTGGGAGCGGATACGTTATGGCTAATGGGTGGTGAACGACGAGGCAGAGGTGGAGTAGGATCCGGAGGAGGACAAGGAAAGGGAACCATGAAGTACATTTAAGAGCGGTGGGCGGTGTGGAGGGTGGTCTCATTGAAATATAGACAGGTAAAACACAGACTATAAGTGTGTACATGGACAAGAGATTGGTATGGTGAGTGGGGAAAGGAAGAACAATAATTTGTAGTGGACGAGGCTGGGGAGACTGGCAGGGGAGTAGGTATGTAGTGGATGAGTTTCAAATGAAGATCTTGGTAGATTTATATTAAACATACAACGTCTACCTTTGTATATTTGTCAGCCGGAGGTAATACAAAATTTAACTTCCCCATGGCGTTCAGCACGACCCTCCTGACGTGGGGTCTCATCAGGTACAAGGACGCCTACGAGAAGACGGGTCAACTGGACAAGATGTATGAATGTATCAAGTGGCCTCTGGACTACTTCATCAAGTGTCACACCAATCCCAACGAACTGTACGTTCAGGTATGAGGACATGACCATATCTGTTTCCATATCAGGTTAATGGCGGGAACAACATATATCTAACCGCATTGTCTCAGACTATAACTGAAGCCAATAAGGAACAAGTGACCATTGACTGGTAAAACAATCCGCAGACGTGTTCTACGTTTGTTACCCAAACCTGATCCGTTAACAGTGTTATTTGTGGCAGTGGACTGGGCACTATGTACATGTACTGGGGAACGAGTAGTCCAATCACCTTGTGGTTTATAGTTTGTTGTTTGTTTTACTCCGCACTCGTCAATATTCCAGCTATATGACGGCGATCTGTACATAATCGATTCGGGACCAGACAACCCTGTGATCAACAGCATTAGCAACGATCAACGCAGTTGGGATACGTTGACTTGTGTCAAACCAGTGGTCACTTGTTTCTCTCGTCAGGCGACAAGTATGGATTGTGGTTGATTGGGTATTGCAATTATGCTTTCTGAAGTTTGTCATACAGCTGCCGAGATCCTGCTCAGAATCGCCCCAGTCTGTTTAAATTACTTCTTACAGCTATGTTCATTTATGTGGAAGCGTTTGGGCTTTGCCTCATATACATATTCATGTCTACCAATATAACCGGGCTGCTGTATTACAGACAGGAGACGGTGCTTATGAACACTCAACGTGGACGAGCCCAGAACGTATGAATCAGAACAGGCCCACCTTCAAGATAGATGCTGATAATCACGGGTCTGATATTGCCATGGAAGTTGCAGCAGCAATGGCTGCTGGTTCCATTGCATTTAAACAGAAAGGTAAGGTACACTTTCTGCCCTCTAGGGGTGGTGAACAAGGTGAAAGAGATGGGAAGGTTGGTGAGACAGTTAAAGACTGTGCATAGAACTTTGAATTCAACTCGAACAACTGAATTCAATTTGCTGCCAGTGCAAAGATTCTATCACAAGGGTTATACATCATTTCTAACCCAAGACCTTTTTTCTCATATCAGATGACGAGCTGTGAATAAATTTATAAGCCAGTGTTAGATACAGATCACACTCACGCCTTCTCCAGATAACCATACCGATCTAAGAATACAGCATTTGTGATGTTTTTATTAATTCCAGACCCTGGGTATTCCACCACGCTGCTGACCCATGCCAAGCAGTTATACACGTACGCCATGGCTCACCAAGGGAAGTACAGTGACAGTGTGCCGGACGTCTCCGACTTCTACAAGTGAGTTACAAACACGGACATCTCTCTGACTTTCCTGTGTGAAGCCCATTTCTGATGTCCCCGCCGTGATATTGCTGGAATATTACTAAAAGCGGCGTAAAACCATATTCACTCTCTCTAGGACTTCCCTAGTTCAAAACCTCCATTTTGCAAACCACTTCCCTGATTCCACTGAAGTCATTGGCATTCGATGGTATCAATAGTCATTGAATTTTGTAGATCATATGGGTTCGCTGATGAGAACAGTTGGGGCGCCATCTGGTTGTTCAAGGCCACGGGAGATAACCAGTACCTGACTGTCGCAGAACAACACCACATGCCAGGGGTGGCGTGGGGATTCTCGTGGGATGAAAAGAATGCTGGTGCTAATGTAAGTTTGAAAGTGTAAGCCTGCGTGTGAAATGTACGCATTGAAAACACTACATAAAAACCATGTAATCTCAACACTACTAGATCCACTAGGTGTTTACCTTAAACGTGTTAAAAGCAGGGACGGATCCGGGATTTGGGAGAAGTGGGGTACACTTTAATCATGAAGTCCAAAGGTTAGGGGTAAATGCTTCTCGGGGAACATTTTCTTGGGGGAGAGGAGTTGTCGGTGGGGTGGGTTTCTGTGGGGTGGTGGATCCGCCCCTGAAAAGGCGTTTCTTATACACCTGACAAGTAAAGAGAAGTCAAATCATACGGAATGCATGAGATGGAAGTACAAATGTCCCCAAATAAATTGCGTTAATACATGTACAATATATCACCGTAACTAAACAGTGACGATCCATTGCGACACCTGTGTGCATTTGTCAGCCTAGGGATGTCATGCAGATATGTTAATACCCACCAACTTACCTGCAGATCCTGCTATACGAGGCTACCAAGAAGAGCATCTATCAGCAGGACATCGTCTCCACCTTCAATACCTGGCTACCTGGGGGCTCTGTGACATACACGCCAAAATGCCTGGCCTTCAGGTTAAAGTGGGGCTCCCTTCGATATGCAGGCAGGTTGCCGTACACAGTAGCATGAAACTTAATTAATCCGGAGATTAATCAAGATAAATGAACACATTTCCGAAAAGAAAATTAAAAAGTAATGTTTCGGACAAGGGTTTTTTGAATTAACAGGAACTGGGTTTCATTTTATGAAACGTATGGTTTCGAGTGTATGGCAAAACTATTTTTATTTGATATATTTATTAGTTAAAACAACTTGCGCCATACAACGCCGTAAATTTGAAAGTAAGATAATAATCCCATCGGGTAAAGTTTGGATTTTGAATTATGGAACAAGAGGATATCAAGATGCAGTTGCATATTGTCATCCTGGTAGTTTCGCTTGTTTCTGGAAGAAATGCAATTTTGGCATATGTAAACAATCGAACCGTGCATGTATTTACCATTATTCTTTTGCATTTTCATACATTTGAATAAAAATAGATGATTAAGTCACTACTTATAGATGTGAATGATGCCCTTATAATCTATGTATTTCAATGGTAATGAGATAAATATTTCCAATTGGAATTACATGCTCTTATTTCATGTTCAATGGAGGCGGTAGGGTAGCCTAGTGGTTAAAACGTTCGCTCGTCACCCCGAAGATCCGGGTTCGATTCCCCACATGCGTACAATGTGGTGTCCCCTGCCATGATATTACTGGAATATTGCGAAAAGCGGCGTAAAACTAAACTCACTTACTCATGTTCAATGGCGAAAATATGAAACAGTCTGTGTGGAATACATACTTTGAAGTTCAAATTTGTCAACATTTAACAACATCCGAATGTACTGCTTGTGTCCTCCTTCAGCTAACATGGCCTATCTGGCCCTGGTGGCAGCAGATGAAGGTATCAACACTTCCCAGTACCGTCAGTGGGCGATAGGTCAGATCCACTACATTCTGGGAGACACCGGAAGGAGTTTTATAGCAGGGTTTGGTAAGAACCCTCCACAGAGACTTCATCACCGGGCAAGGTAGGAATGTTATTATTTTACATTTACGCAGTAGATATACACCATCACACTGATAAACAACTCGTATGTTTCAAGATCTGGAATTGGCTGGACACAATGCGTGCGTCACAAGTACGTTGAAACATACGTAAGTGCTCAGTTAGACAGCCCTGCCACAAGACTAAATTGCTGTGAGCTGAACAGTTGATATCCTGTCATGCGCAGTTCGTGTCCACTGCTTCCGGCACCCTGTTCCTGGGATATGGAGAAATACAAAGGTCCCAACCCACAAATCCTATATGGCGCCATGGTTGGCGGGCCCGACCAGAACGACACCTACACTGACGACAGGGACGACAACGTGAGGAACGAAGTTACCTGCGACTACAACGCCGGGCTGCAATCCAGCGTAGCTGGTACGTTGAACTGATAGGACTGAAATTCAAAATAAAATAGCCTTGCTTCTGAGCAAAAAGGGGTTTAAACAATGTCAGAATACGGGGAATTAAATTCTCTCCGATGTTGCGATTTTACATTTTGATTTTGGGATTTAAGTCTTTTCCCCACCTTTCACTGAAATCCCAGGGCCGTTACTAATTAACAAAGGCAGTTTGATCTAGGATACAACCGGAATCTACGATAGCCTCTTGCAGCTAGAGATATCTCAGATGGGGTATACAGTGTGTTCATCGTATTCAAGGGGCGGTGGGGTAGCCTAATGGTTAAAGCGTTGGCTCGTCACGCCGAAGATCCGGGTTCGAATTCCCAGATGGTTACGACGTGTGAAGCCCATTTCCGGTGTCCCCCGCCGTGATGTTGCTGGAATATTGCTAAAAGCGGTGTAAAACCTAACTCAGTCAGTCAGTGAGTCATCGTATTCAGTGAACAGTGTTGATCGGCAATACCAACTGTAAGCGATTCAAGTTTTAGCAGGGATTACATTCATCCGACCCTCAGATACATTATGTTGAAACTTAGATAATACATACACTGTACTTAGTTTAGTTCACATATGTAGTTGGCAAAGTTAATATTCCTTTATAATTTGGACTCATAGAAATGAGAAAGCATGAGTTAAGGTACAGGTGATACTGTTTATAGGACAAGGTTTATTATTTGACCAGTCTGTCCAATATCTAGGACATAACACTAAACACTCCCGTTCGTCGATAAGACATTGTTAGCGATGTTTCATGGTCAAATCTTCCATACCGCATGTCACCGTATGACAAAGAGTAGAGAAGTGTAATAACGGGGAAGACAAGAGAGTTCTTCAAGGTAACCTGTGAAGATCCGGGTTAGAACTGGTCTCAAGCAGCCCATGTTATATTTTGGAAGAGACTAACGGGAAAGGGTGGTCAGGTTCGCCAACTTGGTTCACTCATGTCACCGTATTCCTATTGTGTAGATCGATGCTCATACTGTTGATCACTGGATTGTCTGGTCCAGACTCGATTATTTACAGACCTCCGTTAAACCACAAACAAACAAACAAACAAACAAAAACGACAAGATATAAATAGTCCAAGTTTCATTTCATTTTGATTGTTTTCATATTTCAGGTCTTCAACATCTGGCCGTTGTTTCCCAGTTTCCCAACCCCCTGCAGCCCGTCTGTCCTCAGTGATCGCCCACAGATGGACTGTACATAACATTGAGATACCCATAACTGATTTCACTCTGTAATGTCTATGATAATAAAATGTCCTCTGTTCAGCGTTATTTGTCCTTCACAGAGGTATCGTCCTATATTATTAGGCATGTTTAGTGGGGTAGTCCCTTGTTTTCCGGACCAGCCACCAACTACACACTTACTGTTATTTGACAAGCTGACCTAACCTGGTGAGGGCAGTATAGAAAATCCTACCAGTGCAAGCACAAGAAGTCTCGATTATCTGCACAAACATACCCCATTGCACTTGAAAGGCAAACTGGGGCGGTGGGGTAGCCTAGTGGTTAAAGCGTTGGCTCGTCACGCCGAAGACCCGGGTTTGAATCCCCACATGGGTACAATGTGTGAAGCCCATTTCTGGTTTCCCCCGCCGTGATGTTGCTGGAATATTGCTAAAGCGGCGTAAAACCAAACTCAGTCAGTCATTGAAAGGCAAACAAAGGGTAAGAATGTGACCAGTCGGTGGTTGTATACTATAGCAATGATCCAGAGTTCAGTGAAATTATGCATTTGAACATTCAAAACATTTGATAGACCCAACCGACGCCACATATTCAAAAACCTGAAAAACGCCCTGTTTTGGATGAACAATCATCAGATCTTCACTGATCTTGTATTGAAATACGCGGTAGGCATATATACACAGTGTAGCCAAAGATCTCATTCCACAAAGGCAAAAGAAGATAGATTGTCTTAAATGCTTCCATAAATGAACACATCTTGGCTCAGTCGGTACATACATATATTTATACAGGTACAGTACATTACTCATCGATATAACAGAGCGAGTTGGCTATACGCCGCTTTTAACAACATTCCTCTACGACCTTGGCCATGACATTTCCCGCACTGAAAGAAACAACGATCTGATTGGCTATAATGAAAATGTTCCATTAGATCGCTGCTCTTTTCAGTGTGGGGTGGGTAATGGCAAGGTGGTTGTTTTATATTACAATTTACGTCGTAACAGTGGTAAATAGAGAACGGGCACAACACAGGCCTGTTTGCAATGAATAAATGTGCGTAAACACAGTGAGGGAATTAGGTACCAGTGTCTCTTGTAAACGATGGCGATTAGAGCGCCGACGGGTGCCCTTGATTCAGCGTGTTTGGGTGCATGTCGTGTGTACACACTGCAATAAACAAGACATTCCGAAGATCCTAGCTCCCTAAGGTACGGTTCGATTTTTATGATCTATGTCTCATTTTGTAGATAAATCTATTGTCTTGAAATGCCTGTATGTAGGGGTACAGACAGTGAGCCCTTGGACCAGGTATGGTCGACAGAAAGTGTGTTGTCTTTATTATCTTAACACACTCTCCAGAAGCAAAGGTTACTGTTGACCAATATTTGCCCCCAGAATGCCCACTGTTGTTTAAAGTGCAGATACACGTTGTTCACCTGTGAAGAACTCTTCTATCTGTTTTACAGAGCTTTCACTTTATGCTGCTGCAGGCCTTTGTTACGTGGAAACATGGGAAACAAGTCTGGGCCCCGTTCCTCAAGGCGATCGTAGCGCTACGACAGTCGTATGTCTATAAAGTATAGGAGTTACGATCAACTTAGCGCTACGATCGCCTTGAGGAACGGGGCCCTGGGCACGACTGAGTCTCGTTCAGTCACTTAATGATAGGGGGAAATGACAAGCAATGAAGACTCAGAGATATTTGTTTTCCTCTTAGCCGGCTTCTTTAATTTCTATTTAAGAAATTACTTCACACAACACTGAGTGTTGAGTGTGAAATTGCAGTAACCTGCAAAACAAAAAGGTCATTTTGTGTATCTTTGGTATTTGGAGTTAGGCTGATGTCTGCGTGACATGCACTGTGCACGGTGTGAGCTCGTGTACCAGCAGATCTACATGTCGGTTATCAATGTGCCAAGGATCCTTAACGTGTTTGAATTCTTGACATTACGCGTCATACAGTGTAAGCCACGCTGAGTTTATTTTAAGTTTCGTATTCTTAAAAGTATTTTAAGCAATATCATGTTTGTGTTATCCAGTGAGTTATGTCTACATAAATACACTGTAACTATTTACCATTTAGAGTATGATTCTCATGGCACAAAGCCGTCAGTTCAAGTGCCTCCTTCACCAGTGCGAGGTTTTAGAGATGTGATACGGACGTTTGGAAATCGCTATGGTGGTGCATATACCCAGAGTAAAACCCGAAGAGAGCCTTATAATACAACAGTAGGTTTCTAGCAAGGATATAACCAAACATGGAATGTCATGTTATTACTAATTTCAGCATTTACAAACATGTCTGCGATCGAGTCGGAATTTGACATCGGGAATACAGGGAAACTATTGAAATAACTGTCTTGATCTTAAAAAAACATAGTCGATTAAACACTGATGACTAGTTCCAACTGAATCATTGTGAAATAAACTTTGGAAATACACGTTTCGAAACACCTGCATATCTGTGCTTGTAGATTTCCTGTGGCCACGCAGACTCAAAAGAAACGTGACGTATTATAGTCTAGGTTACAGTCATAGGCCCCACTGCGGGTCCGAAAATCGATAAACTAGGCCCCGGTTTAGTATCCACATCCTTTACTGTATAATATGTAAAGGTTCATCACAGAAATACGGTGACATCGAAAACCGGACGATTACGCACATATCAATCGACATATCGTAGTTTAAAGGTCTCACAAGTATGAAAAGCTTTTCTCTATATCTCTGATGTGTGTAGGAGGCATATACACATGTGTGCTTCTCGTGGGGATGCATTTGTTGGTTTTTATCAAATCGCCATAGACCGAGTTGCTGTGCCTGAAGTATACAAAACTAGGTCGTCAGCGCAATCAAATTGGTTAATAAAATGACAACAAATGCACGTGCAAAAATGAGAGGGAAACTCAAACGTCCTTCATCCAAGTTGTCACGGTCTGATGTTTTATCCTGGTAAGAATAATTTTAAAAACGAATAAAAATATATTTTAAAGAAACACATAATAATCCATTCATTCAGTGCAAGGTGTTAGCCAATCAGATCGCCGGAGGTAGTGAAGTCATGCGCTGACGACCTAGTTTTGTATACTTCCGGCACAGCAACTCGGTCTTTGGCGATTTAATAAAAACCATCCAATGCATTCCTACGGAAAGCGCATGTATATGCCCCCTACACAAATCGGAGATATGAAGAAAAGCTTTTGATACTTGTGAGACCTTTAAACTACGATATATTCATTGACGTGTGCGTAATTCTCCGGTTTTCGATCATGTCACCGTATTTCTGTGATGAACCTTTTACATATTATATAGTAGGGTGTGTGGATAGTTCATCGATTTTCTGACCCGCATTGGGGGCCTATGTTGTGTGTGTAGGCACTTATTATTCTGCCTGTATAATGCCTGCCTGTCTGTTACACCAATACTGCAAAACAGGTTTCAGTAGGAACTATACTGACTGTTGTCTCTCTGACTAACACGAAGCTGTTCAGGTACCGCTTGTGAGAGATGAGAAACTCCACAATTATGTGTTGATATTATCTGAAAAAGACGTTATCACACAAGACTTAATAAATTCCTTCTTCGTTCCTATTTCACAGACATTTTAAAACACTGTGTTTCGCGAGCAGTGGCGAGTAAATGCATTGTGTTTACTCCCAATACATAAATTCACCCAAACCCAAAACATACTCGCGTGTTAACGTCTGTATATATTACACTGGATACTCGAGGGCGGGTTTCACCCTAATCACAGCCAAGTTCTCAAAGGGTGTACCCATGGGATTCGAAAGTGTTATTAAAAGCTACAAACACCTTACATCTCCCGTTCACCTACCCGGTAGACCATAATACTTTGTATTAGTGAGTGAGTTGTGTAAGTTATGTCTATCTATCTATCTATCTATCTATCTATCTATCTATCTATCTATCTATCTATCTATCTATCTATCTATCTATCTATCTATCTATCTATCTATCCTAAAACTAGTAAAGAGCTGATATCCAGGAAATGCTGCTCAAAAGCGCTGTTGTGTCTGAGAAAAAGATTTCACTGATCCAGAGCTAAGTTGTAAAAGTCCGTCTTGAGTTTTGATTTGAATCCAGTGAGAGTGGTCCGGGATTTGATAAGGAATGGCAGTTCATTCCACAAGCATGGTCCGGCATGTTCAAAGGCTCTTTCCGCCAAAGGTCTTTGTGCGTGATGTTGGTACTTGTAGTTGAAATCCCTGTTTGGATCTGAGTGAGCGACGTGGCTGGTATCTGATATATTCAGATACACAGCAAAACCATTGTAACTACCTGGCTTATACCCAGACACAAACCGGATACTATGAGGGTTATATGGTATTCCAAAAGTCTGTCATGCATTCCACAGCGTATTTAGTTCGAATGCCCAATTTGATGCATCTCACATCTATTTCAGGTAGAGACAGACTATCATATTACAACCGGCACATCCGGGATTCGAACCCATGGTTAGCTGGTCTTTAACACTTTGTCTTATAGAGACACTCTGTTTTATAACGTCTGTTGTACATATATCGCAGCAACCTGTCGCTGGCCTTCCCGGCATACCAGTAGTTGATGTCATGAGAGATGAAAACCTTCAGGTAGCAACACAGCCTCCGTGCTTTACCCCCGATCCACGAAGTCCGACAAGCACTTGTCGCAGCAACCTGCTCTTATCCGGTTCCAAATCCACACGAGTGCATAACATACGTTCACATATTGCCTTAAGATATACCTGTGACCTCCTACAGGTCGGGGCGGTGGGGTAGCCCAGTGGTTAAAGCGTCCGCTCGTCAAGTCAAAGATCCGGGTTCGATTCCCCACATGGGTACAATATGTGAAGCTCATTTCTGGTGTCCCCCGCCGTGATAGTGCTGGAAATTTGCTAAAAGCGGCGTAAGAATAAACTCACTCACTCACACTCCTACAGGTCGACTTAATTGTTTCTTATCACATTTAGTACACATTCCTAAACACACAAAAGGAGTCGTACAATTGTCTGCTGTTGGTAGAAATATTTTTTGCGATAACGGAAATGTTTTCTTGCTCTTGTTTACCAAAAGCATAGTTTC